ACTCCTTCTGAAGAGCTCCACCTTGATTGGTCCTTCTATGAGAGGTAGCACCAAAGCCAGTAGTAACACCATAACTATCAGTGCCTTTGTTCATGCTCTCCATAACCCAATCACTGCTAGCTTTAACACCAGCTCTAGCAGACTCGGCCAACTCGACCATCACATCATTATCACGAGTGGCAATGGCAGCCACTTGGGAAATGGTGAGAGTTTCACCACCAAGCTTGACAAGGGGCCTCCGGTACTCCTCCACCATGCGCTTCACCTCATCGAGATGGCTTCCCTTGAGAGACTCGGCAGCCACACCCCAGTTGAGTGGATCGTTACGGGTAGTGCAGAAGGTCTCCACCGAACCATTTTGGGCGGCAAGTTGTTGGAAGGGAGCTGGGGCCATTTGTATAGCAAAATGAAAGATGAAGAGTAGAGTGTGTTAGAGAGGAAGTAAGAATGTGAGTTGGGTTTAGATTTGAATTGATATGTGTGTTGTGGAGAGTGATGGAAAAAAGTGGTTATATAGAGAAAGCTTTGTGTAACGACCGCGCAATGGGGGGTGTGGTAGGTAAAGGTAAGAAGGGGGCGAACGAGGAAGGAAGAAAGAGCTCCGAAGGTTGGTGGAAATGGTTGACATAAGAAATGTAGTGAAAATTTGAATGGTCAAAGTTTATAGGGGTTGGTGGTTATGTATGGATTTCTTGACTCCCCAATTTATCAAATAATAAGGCAATATCTGTGGAGGTGAAGAATGATTGGAAGCGCCATGTTTGAACACACGTCAATAAGCTTAATAAATCCATCCCATAAAATATTATAAATTGGAAGCAAAGTAGATGGCGGCTTTAAAGAATAAATTTCACGTGAGAAGGGGTTGATCAACATAAGTCAATGCTGACCAATATTATATGAATCATTACCTTTCTCATTATTTCATTTTTTTTATATAATTTAATCTCCCACTGCTCGCTCATTTTGCTAATGCTTTCCTCCTGTCTTTTTTTATCATTACTGATTCTTCTTATTTTCATGGTCAAATGTATGGCTAATGTCTAACGTTTTTCTTTTTTCTTTTTCTTTTTTAAATGTTCAACTATTCTGACATGGAGATGGATTAGACTTACAAGATGGTAATCAATGTCTTGTTTTGAAAGTTATACTCGAAATTGAGGTGACAGTGCTAAGCAATGCAACTAAGATGCTAGTTCTCCTTGTTTTGAAAGCTCATGCACGCTCTTGCCTCGATTGCTTGATCTAGGTCTCATCTTAAGTGATGAAAGTGCCATGGACA